TGGAGGCTTCGCGTTAGGGCTCTCGAGTTCGGGGTGTTCATGTCTTACACACCCCTTTTTGTTGAATCTTGAATTTTGAGCCCTATGAAAACAGTGAAAGCCCTGAGCATGTTCTTTGCTCTGCTTTCCATACGGCTGTAAGATGAAGCTGTTTTTCCCAGTCCTTGAACGGCTTACAACTTGCCTCACCCTAAGGGTCCATGTACCTATATAGTATGTGCTTGGCCTTAAAGGGGTTCCCATAGCTTTAGGGCCCAAGTATATACTATATAGGTACGTGGACCTTTAGGGTAAGGTTTGCTGAGGCTTGTTTCGCACGTCTGGTGAGCACCTTCGAGTCTGTTTGGACCATGGTGGGCCACTGTATGTCTCGAAGAGCCCGGAAGCTGAAATTCAATGCCACCAAGCCCCAAACGGCCCTAAGCCCTAAACCCTAAACCCTAAACCCCAAACCCTAAACCCTAAACCCTATACCCTAAACCCTAAACCCTAAACCCTAAACCCTAAACCTCAGCCCGCCCAAGTTGGGGTGTGGTGGCTAGTATAGGAGCGCTTCGGCCCGGCCGTAAAGGAGAGCCGGGGGACCCAGAGCGACTCAGGGTTTATAGGTATGGGGGGTTTAGGGTTTAGGGTTTAGGGTTTATAAGGTTTAGGGTTTAGGGTTTAGGGTTTCCGAAAATAGGGGTACTTCATTGGGGTCCTTACCATAAGGGGATCCTACTATTTTGGGGGTGTATATTCGGGGTCCCTGATGTTCGTAAACGCCTATATAGGGTTTAGGGGTTAAGAGGGTGAGGGTTTAGGGTCTAGAAGGTGTTTACATTGTGTGGAGTTTATGAGGCTTATCGGGTTTTCAGGGGTCTTTTGGCGTTTTGTGAAGTTTGGGGGATTTTGGGGGGCTTCTGGCTTTCTTGAGTACACGTTGGTCAAAGGGGGCAGATGAGCATCTAACCTCAGACAGATGATGGAATAAGGTTATAGGGTTTAGGGTTGAGGGTTTATAAGGTTTAGGGTGCCAAACAACCATTACTACGCCGGGTTTTTGGGGGGTACCTGATCCATGATCATGAAAATCCTGACAGTCGCCCTACAGTTAGTAGCATCAATCCTAGCAAGGCCCCAGCCCAGCATCTCGAAACGAAGGTCTGGAGAATGCATTTCAAGTCGCCCACCAGCTGGGTCACCTTGGCACGGGCGCGGCCGTGGGCACCGACCACCTGCTGGTACTTGAAGATGCATTGAGGGGTCTTGTGCAAACAGCACCTTCCAAAGTTTCGACTTGGCGTGTCTCATCACTCCCGACGCCCAGTTGAGACACGTCGAAGTAGTCGAACAGGAAGACCTAAGAGCAGTTTCGGTTTCGGGGGCCTTTTCCTGAGCCCACTCTTTCTGAGGTCGGCATGGCGGCAACACAGCAGAGCGCTGCATCGCGCGCCCTGCGTGCCGTGGGCGTCACGGCGCGCCCCCCCCCCCCCCCCCCACCCCACAGGGTTTAGGGTTTAGGGTTTTGGGTTTTGGGTTTTGGGCCGGGACGTGCCGAGACCTTTCAGTGTTTTAGGGTGCCCTGGAAGCTGCAGGCGGAGGGCCTACAGGAGAAGCTGGCCGACCTGAAGCCACCAGCGCCACCTGGATCTGGAAGAGTGACATGCTAGAAATAATTTAGGGGTCCTTAGTAGTAGAGTAGGCAACCTTTAACCTTTTTGGGTTAATATATTCCCCTCATAATCCCAAAGGTTAACCTTTAAAACCCCTAGGTACTGGACAACTAAGGGTCGGAAGAATTACAAGTAGTATTCCCGTATGGTCCCTCTATAAATATTGTTTACTAACCCGTAAACCCTATTCCAATTATTTAGGCCCCTATTGGTGAGTTTAGGGTTTGAAGGGCTCGGTCTGTGTGTACAGCGCGTAGGGCTTGTGGGATTTCGGATGCACAGGGGTCATAGGGGCTTCTAGGGCCTGAAAAGGATGGGGCTCATAGGCCTTGCAGCACAAACAGGAGCAAGTCGAAAGGAGGCTATGCGTGGCCAGTGGGAGCTTAGGCAGGTACTGTACCCCAATGAAGGACTGAAGTCTGACTAGCTCGTGGAAGACAGGGGCGTGGAGTTTTTTTCGAACCCCAAACCCCAAACCCCAAACCCCAAACTCCAAACCCCAAACCCCAAACCCCAAATCCCAAACCCCAAACCCCAAACCCTAAACCCTAAACCCTAAACCCTAAACCCTAAACCCTAAACCCTACCGTTGAGGTCCGAACTCAGCCATGATCCGCCCAATGCCCTCCAAGCACTCACACCGCCGCTGGAGGCGGGATGTCAGCCTTTTAACATCCGAGGCTTCGGACTTCGCCTGGATTCTCTTGTTTTGGGGTTTAGTGCTTATGAGTTTAGGGTGAGCTTTTCTCAGTAGCCTTAAACTTGAGGGAGTGCTTTGTAGTTCCCTGAAGCGATAGAGGAGCAGCACTCAAGTCTTTTATGGGTGGCCCTCCAGCAAGCCCTGAACCCTATGAACCCTCATACGCCCTAAACTTGGGATGTTCCCTCTTATAATACAAGGCCTTTATAGGGATTCTAGTACCCCGTAGTATAATGCCTGTTAAGGACTGTTAGTATAAAGGGGGAACATCCCAACCTAAACCCTAGACCAGCATCCTCCTAACAGGCTGAGGCACTCTTCTACTTGCGACGTGCTTCAGGCAGGGATGCCACAAGGGGAGGGCTTGCAGGTGTGCATACTGAGTAATGTAGAGGTCTATGTAATTTTGAATTGGTAATTCGTCATGTGGGCTTTTCTTCCTGAGGCCCATGTACTTAGCCATCTGTAATGCGGGGATAATGTTGGTAGCGATTTAGCCTCCCGTATCACGCATCTTGCTAGGGCCATCTCTTTCCTTTGCGGCTCCCACGGGCCGGCGTGAGGCATGCTGAGATGGCTGCCCACCGAACCGGGTATGGATCGGATGCTGGGCACCGAGCACATCATGCTCGGCTGCTTGGCGCGCAAGACGGGAGGCACGCTGGCTTGGCCGGGGGACGTTTGTTCTTGAACCGTGGAAGACTCCTTATCCACCCTAAACTTGAAACCCCAAACCCTAAACCCTAAACAACCCGAGGTTTCCTGAGCAACGGCAGCCACGCAGCAGGGAAGCTCTTGCTAGCCTTCGACGGCGAAGGTTTTGATCGTACTGTCGGGTCCCAAGCTGCTGTTTGAACTTGCCATCTGCCCCCGAACTAGGGTTTAGGGTTTAGGGTTTATAGGGATTTCCCAAAATAGGGGTACCCTTTTATACCCCAAATAGAATAGAGTCCCCTTAAAGGGACACCCCCAAAAGGCTACCCCTATTTTCGGAAACCCCCAACTGTAGTCCCTTAAACCCGAAACTCTGAACAGCCAAGGTCGTGAAGTATGACTCCGGTGCGGGAGGGGCCGCTTCCAACCCCCGGCGGGCAGCGCTGCGGAAGGCTTCAGCAGACTTGCCACAGTTGATGGTCTGGAGAATTCTGCTGCGCACCCCAATTGCGACAATTGCAAGCCAAATTCAGTAGCATAGGATCCCCTGTGCTAACTCACTTTTTTGACGTATATCCACGCTGGCTTGAGGATTATGTTGACGATACATTCTCACATACACGGGCACATGCCTCTACATACTCTATACGTATACATGTCTATATGCCGATGCACCACATACATAGTTTCCTCGTGGTTCTCCGGACGCCCTCAAGCTTTAACTCCTCAGCAGCTAGCAACGCGGGACAATTTTGGCACACCCGAAGCTCAGAGGCCCTCATGGAGATCGTCAACGAAGGTCGCGGCGACGCTGTTGCTGCAGAGCCCGCGCACACCGAGAGGCCCCAGGCGGCGTCTCCTTCTGGGGGCTCAGAGGGCCGACCCATCGACCGCTTCGCACCCGACCTCACAGCCTTGGCCAAGGACTGACATGAGTCCATGAGTCCCACAAGTGAAGCTCCATTCCATGAAGACCTGGCACAGAACGAGCATCCATGGCTCTACAGGCGTTCATCGGTACAGACATGCATGTTTAAATTTTGTCCAACATGTCTGATGCGCAAGCCATGCAACAAAAGTGCCCGCAGAAAGATGGGGCCTGCGTGTAACTAGAACCCTTGACTCCAGCTGATTTCTCCTCCGACCCGCCAATCTCTCTTGCAACTATTTCACTCAGGGGTACTTGGAAATATTTGTTTTATTGTTGGGCACTTTAATTCCTAAGAAACAGCTAAAATCACAGTTTCGGCTAGGGTTCCAAGTTCAGTATTTTTTCAGGAAGGATGGGCAAGTTGTCGAGTTGTCCTGGAGTTTTGAGCTCTTCAATCACCACTTCCTGACAATGAACTCCTGTCAACGCCTGAGTTCCAGACCCATGACAACAAACGACACCCAAAACCCTATAAACCTTAAACCCTAAGAAACCTAAAACCCTATAAGCCCTAAACCCTGAGAAATCTAAAGCCGTATAGAAGGCAGTGCTGTTCAAAGCTGGTCTGGACCCTCTGACTAATGACACAAAAGCTCCAGATCAAAGGACGTAGACCAAAACATATGACACCTTAAGCCCCAGAATCCTGAGATGATGGTTTTAGCCTTCAGGGTTCAGGGTTTTAGGGTTTAGGGTTCAGGGTTTAGGGTTTAGGGTTTAGGGTTTAGGATTGAGGGTTTAGGGTTTAGGCCTCAGGGTTCGCGCCCTCCGGAGGATGGCCAGCTGGATCCCTTCACCGGCCGCGAGCCGCTGCTCAGCCGGGTGGAGCGCGCCCTCGGCCGGCGCCTGCAGCGCACGAGAGGTTTAGGGTTTAGGGTTTAGGGTTTAGGGTTGAGGGTTTAGGGTTTAGGGTTTAGGGTGTGCAATCGTGGGTTCAGTCTTCCCAAGGGTAGTTTCATGGTAGCAGAGTAGATAGCCTTTAACCTTTTTGGGGGATTATAATTCCTATATAATCCCAAACCTTTAGCTTTCTAGGCTACTGGACACTACCTCGTTTTAAGCATTCGGAACATCTGGCCTTGGACCGTTGCAGTTTTCTTCCAGCTCCCAAGAAAATTGCGAAGGCTGGGCACTGGAAAGCCACCAACCCCAAAGCCGAATGTTCCTGCCCAAGCCCTCGCAGTCCAGAACATAATGCACTGAAGTTTGCAACTTGATTTTTCGACTGCTTTATGCTTCCAAAACAATAGAGCGCGATCGTGAAGCGATACTGCCAGATCTGGAAGAACTTGGCGTTCGAATACGATGCAACTGACACATGGTGGTTTCCCAACATCATGGGCACCTACAGTGGGGTTCCTGATATAAGAGTTAGGGGTACACTAGGAAGCACCTCTATTTTTGGAGGGAAATACTCAAAGGGCTGACCCTAAACCCGAAACCCTAAACCCTAAAGCGCGCGCGTTGAGCTGCAGGCGGATGAAGCGGAACGTGCTGCTTGTGGGAGACCCTGGCGTTGGGAAGACGGCCGTGGCGGATGGTTGTCGACATAGAACAATCTTGATTCTTTTGGCTGACCCTAAACCTTAAGCCTTATGAACCCTAACTTATTATAACCTACAAACGCGATAAACATCTTATAAAGCCAATAAAGCCCGTGAACCCCTACAAACCTCATGAACCTTATCAACTGTAACTGCAGGTTGAACCCGAAGCCTCACGCAGGCAGTAGTCCGCGTAACCCAACTCGAGCCTGACCACAACGCCTGGAACCTGAAGTTTAGGGTTTAGGGTTTAGTGTTTCCCTAAACCCCAGAGCCCTCAAGAGTGTCTGGCCTTAGGTTTCAGTGCTCTTGGAGGAAGCCCCAAACCCTAAACCCTGAACCCTAAACCCTAAACCCTATAATTACCCTGAACCCTGAACCCTTATGAAACTAAACCGTAAACGATCAATCCGAGAGCCATCCAAGGTGGAAGCTCTGGCTCAGCGCATCGTCGCGGGCCGCGCCCCATCCTGGCTCTCCGGGAAGAGGCTGCTTGAAGGATCTAATGTCGGGGTTTCCGAATTTAGGGTTTAGGGTATGTAGTTCCCTAGGGGTACCCTTTTTGGGGGGGTCCCTTTAAAGGGCTTCTATTCTATTTCGGGGGGTATAAACGGGCGACGCCTAATTTGGGATTTGCCCATGTAGTTCCCTTTTGGGTTCGATCTGGGGGCTCCTTTTATGCCCCACAGAAGGTACTGGCGCGCCGAGTGTTTCCCCCTTCCCAGCCCCACCCGCCTCAACATGAAGCCCTAAACTTCACCCGGCACCCTCCTAAACCCTGAATTCTGAACTTCGAGCCAAAGCCGTGAGCTGCTGCGGACGGAAGCCTTAGCAACTCAGCTCCAGATGGTCAGCTCCTCAAACTCAAGCCCTTTCCTGGGTTCCTTTAAGGACACAAAGACCGAAATATGAAGTGAGGCTTATATTGCTGTACTTGGTCAGTGCTTGTATATGGCTCCTTGTAACTAGTAATGTGGGTGGATGTGTCTATGGGGGATCCTTTCAACCTTATGATCGTCACGGGCAAGAACACCCCCACTGCACAAGAGACTTATAGGTTCATTGCCCGAAGAGGGACTCAACTCATAACTCGACATAGGCACCCCCCATTAATACGGTTTTCTCATAAGCCCCAAACCCCTAAACCCTTAACCCTAAAACCCTAAACCCTAAACCCCGAAACCCCTAAACCCTAAACCCTCCACCCTGTAAACCCCTCATAGACTCCCGAGGCTCCGGAGCCTCGACGTGGCGCTGCTCACTGCCGGCACGCGTCTCCGGGGCGACTTCGAGGAGAGGCTCCGTCTCCTCCTGGAGGATGTGGACCGAGAAGGCGGCTGGCTACGCTGTAAAAACCCCTTACATAACATGCATCACATATCAATACAAATGTATATGCATATATGTACGTATATATATATATATGTATTGTGAAGTCGACCAGCACTGGACTTGCACTAAGCCAATGCAATCACAGCCCGGTCACGCTGTTTTACGACTTCGTGAGTCCAAGCACTTGTGCAGCTACGCCTGAGTGCGTCCGGTCGGACCGCACAGCAACCTAGGAGCTACTGTACGACTCTACCGTGCTCAAAGGCACAAGCTCGGTACTTGAGCCAAAATATTGGCATTGTTACGAATTGCAAAACTACACATGCAAGGGAAAACTACAAGCTGCACTAGCACTAAGCAAGCACTCCATGCATGCTTTGACCTGCTCACATTCGCCCCTCAGCCGAGGCTTCCGGCTCACCAAGAGCTCATAGTGCGTCAAGCACTTCAGCAACGCGGCAAATGGGGTAGGGTGAGGGTGTCGCGTGCGACTCTGGTAGAGCCCGCACATCATGAGCATTGGCATGCGGCTTGGGCGGCAGCCCGCACTACCGGACGGACGCACGACGACAGCAACCCTCCACGACCCTAAACCACCCCAAGTCGCGAGCTCTCACCTTTGTGCAGACAGGCGAGGCTCCAGAGTACTGGGCAGGTCTTTGTGCTGCTAGTGCAAGCTATGGTACAAATGGTACACTGTACACTACCGGTCCTAAGCTACGGCTACGGCTACTCACCTATCCGGAACTACCCTACGGGCTACCAGACTCAGCGAGAGCCGCGCACATGGCTTGTGCCGCAGGCAATGCAGCTCACACGCGCTTCGGCGAGCGCATTGCCGCGACCAGGACACGGTCCGCAGCACCTGCAAAAGAGCACCCTCAGCACGAGGGGCCACAGGCAGGGCGGAGGAGAAAGGTGCGGGGAATGCAAAATGGGCAGGTTTCCAACCTGCCGCGGCTTTTCGCCCGCAGTCAAGCAAAAGAAAATGCAAAAGGTTGGCGAAGCAACGTGCCGTGCTGCAACGCCTGCTCTGATAATGCGTGGATGCATACCACGCCGCGCCGACTGGCCGCAGCCTACTCGATACCCTGTGGAGCAGTGTTGGGGGCACGAGTGGCGTTGCCAGCAACGTTGGAGCTACTGGCTCGCTCCAACTGAGGGCGCCTTGCGACCGCCTCATCGAGGGAGAATGCCTCAGCCGACACCCTCTGGAAATCCTCGATATAGGACTGCGCGACCGGGTGCGTCTTGGCGACCTCAAGCCTAAGCCCTGCCTCCGCATTGGCTTTGCTGCTTGTGGTAAAATTGAGGCTCCCAATCAGCACCACCGCGCCATCAGGCCGCAGTAGGCAAAGGGCCTTAGCATGGTGAAGCCCTTGGATGCCGGTACCTACTTTAGCCCCGCGGCCGTCGCGAGCATAGGCGTCGCGCACGGATGAGCCGCAACCCACCTTCACCTCGGCGCCTGCAGCCGCCAAGCGTTTCAACGCTTGCCACTGCAGTTTGGTGCGGTGGCATTGTCCCATGTCGGCGACAATCCGAACGCCTGCGCCCTTGCTAAGCGACGCTTCGACTGCCTCGATGCAGGATGGGCAATCTAAGCTGTACGCCCGGATGTAGATCACATCCTCTGCTGCTCCAGACCCAAGCAGCGTTTGGGCGGCCTGAACGTATGGCCCGCCCGCAAGGAATTCCGCTTCTTTGACTGGAGAACTCCTAGCGGGGACTGGGCCCTTGTTCCTCCGGCTGGGTGTGCGCGCCACAGTGGCAGTGGCGGCACGTTGCACGAAGCCGGACTGTGCGTGGGCTGCGCTCGCTCCATCTGCTGGGGCCGCGGCCAGGTCACGACCCGCGAGCCCCTGAAAGCAGGAGAGCCCGCGGCTCTTGGCCGCAAGTTGGGAGAAACATCCTTCACTGTTCCCCAAACCCAACACAACCTTACCCTTAGCCAGGGCTTCGGAGGCGGTACTCCGAATGGAGTCTGTGAGCGCAGGACCCGCGCCTCGCTGGGCCGCGTGCAAAAAAATCTAGGGATCGAGCGGTGTCCATTGCGGCATCGCAATGCCCGCAACGTCCCTCTGCTAGGTAAGCACGACAGCCACAGGCAGCTGTCTCCTCCTTGAGGTGCACCCAAACTTTATGGGTCACCCCTTTCTTAGTGCTCGCGACCTCAAACGTCGCTTCAGAGCCAAGGAGTTGAGACAGCCGCGCCTCAGGGGCCGCGGTGTTGCCATGTCGCAGATGCGCAATGCGATTGGCAACGGCACGACTCACGTACCACAGAACAGCGCTGCACAAGATCACTACTACCAGAGTGATGGCTGTTCCGGCGACCCACACTGTCCGCCTGGCCCCATGACCGATTTCCTCGACCACGTCGGCCGAAATTGTTGCAACCGCGTGCATGGAGTCCTCGACAACATGCACAGCCCCGCGGTGCAACTGCAAGGCAATCGGCGCCGACGCTGCAGCCGCCAGGCCCCACCAGCCGTTGATGTTCCCGTTGAGGGCGTGCATCAACCGATTGAGGAGCCCGCGACCCAGGAAAAAGGGGGTCCGCGGCGGAAGCGGAACACTTGGCGGCGGCCGGGCCGACCCGCACGGGAAGGCTGGGACCCAGCTTGTGCTTGGGCGGGGTTGGAGCGCGGCAACTATGCCCGCGGCGTAAGCGCCCCAGGCGTACCTGCCCCTCCCCTTGGGCTTGCCCTTGGCATCGGACTTGCCTCTGCCCTTCGGCTTGCCCTGGCCCTTGCCACGGGCGTCTGCCCAAGCACTCCAAGGGTCGCGGCCCTTGCCGTACGTCGCCTCTTCGCGACGTCGCTTACCGCCCCTCTTCTTGTGTTTGTTTCTAAGAAGAGGTTGGATGGTTTCTTGGTCCATCGCACGATTGGCCAGAAGGATCTCGTACTCCAGCTCGTCCTGGCTGCTTTCGGAGCCAGAGTCCCTCTCTTCGCCACGCCGCGGATCAGGGATCCCGCGAGAGACGACCTCTGCCAAACGGAGAGGGGTGCTGCAGCGAAAGCACAGCTGCCTGAATGAAAGATTCCATTCATAGCAGTTAGGGCACTGCCACCCTGCTATGCGGAGCGCCTCGCTGATGTGATCATCGCGCTCCGCCTTCTCCGCCTGGCGCCGCTCTCGCTTCTTGGCGCGCTCGGCCGCCTGCGCCTCCTCGGCCGCC